CAATTTTATACATGTCCGTACAATTTGTAGAAGACACGTGTATCTTAAATATGTAAAGTTTGTCATTTTAACCGTCGTCCAATGGTGCCGGTAAATCAATAAGTGCCTTTGTGTGTAGATTGGATTACCATCCCCGAGGGTCGAGGACAGTAGTAGGGGATATAATTAATTTTATTATCACTTACAGATCATAGCACAAAGTAATGAAATAAAGCATCAACGGTCAAACTGACCCTAAAACCAACGGGTGAAGATCATTCAACTTTTGGTACCAGGTCAATGATCGATTCTCTTATGCATCTAATCTTTATTCTTGTTTTTCAAATTAATTCAAAGATGCTCAGTAAAGGAATATAACAGACTTTGTGCAAATCTGATTACAAATTGAAAAGCAATCAATATTGATTATATGACTATTTCCAACTTTAAATCAAAAAATTATTTTAAAACAATCCGTATCAATATAATCAAATAGGCATATGATTTATCTACATATACATGTATACATGCCCTTAGAATGTTGTTAGTCCATTAGGGACAAATATACGAGGCACATAACTTTTTGGGAGCCAAACGCACTTGTTTCCTTTGAAGTTGAAAGTTGAAGTTGAAATATAGTAGGGTGAGATCTTCTTTGAGTCACTCTTGCAAAAAGAAATCTATATATATTCAGGAAGTAAGACAACTCCGTTGTTTTTGCGAGAAAAGAAACCTTTGTTTATGCTTTGAAAATAATCATAAAAATGCGTCGCACATCGCGTGTCAAATAAAGTTCTCAAGGAAGACGGTGTATACATGTTTAATCCGAGAGAAAGAACAAACTTTAAAAAAATTATACCCACGGGTTAAACTAACAGTTTTAAGAAAACAACTTTTTTTCTACATAATGTATAAAACTGTTTTGTCATATGATACATGTAGGTTGTAAAATTATAAAACTTCATGTAGCCTTTATGTATCTTTTAAAAAAACAATGTAGATCAAGGGCCCTTTTTGACCTTTTTTTGGGTGAAACTCAGAAAAAGTAATACAGGCACGTTGTGTCATTTTTGAAGGAGGGGGGGGGGGGTGGCAACCAGAGAAAAAATGTTTGATAACTTGACAACTTACCTGAAAAAAAAATTGACTAGAAAAAAAGGAAACTTTTTCGTAGGAGGAGCTGGGGGCTGTAGGTTCCAACTTTTACCACAAACAAATTTTATTGATACGTTACCATGGGACGATTTGACTACAGGGCAACAGAAAAGGGGAAAACCTCCCTTTCAATGAACATTTTCAACAATTAAAGGAAACGATTTGGAAGAAGTGGTGAGGGGGGGGGGGCAATACCAAAATAAAAAGGACCCCCTTAGTTTGTCCCTCTCCGAAAGTTTTAAATAGAGGAGATTTATATGTGAAAATAAATTTAAGTACCATGATAAACAATTTCTGGCTTTGAATTGCCCTTTTTCTGCACAGTTGGATATGGGGCTTAACTGGAATATAGTTAAATTCTGACATTATACAGTAAATATCCAGTCAACCAATCTGCATGGAGATACTGCAGCTAAATCGACAAACAATGTGGCCAAAAATACCTCGACCGTCACCTGGTTTCTGGAGGGTCTGGGAGAAATGCCAACTTCCCTAAATTAACTTTTTTTTTTTTTAGAAATGGGTGCCACTTTGGTTGGTTCTGGTGCATTGTGGAGGTCATCCCCCCCAATATTTGATTTACAAAATCTAACAGGTTTACTTTAAACAGAAGACTAATGAATTCATTCCTTTTAAAAAGGATATTTTTTATTCTTCAAAAAGGTGGGGGAGGGGGAGATGGGGGAGCGATCGCACCATTCGTTCACCTCCCCCTCCCCCTTTCGATGGCTTGAATGTACTTCCGCGCGTTTTAAATTTTAAAACTTCGCCTTCGAAGATGTTTCAATATTCACCGGTTAGAACGGTACATTCGGGGTGGCGGCACCGAGGCGAGGAAAACATCAACACGGTGAATAAACCTGATTTTTTTTCATATATTTAAACGTGTTAGATCAGAAAATTGTATTGTACGGAAGAGAGCAAATATCAACCTACCTCTGACCGTTTAAAGCAGCCTATAAGAGTGCTCCGCTTTCTTAAACACTCCTCCTCACTTTTCGGGGTATTAACGTTTTCGACTTTTGACACGATATTCTGTTTCAAAATTGACCTCAGAAGGGTTTTTTTCCTTATATCTTAAACAGTAATAAAGTAATACGATGGAATAAACTTCAATCTTACTTTAAAAGGCAATATATTTGACTAATTAAGCCAATTTAGGCTTCAAACTCGATGCGACGCTCGGGGTGGCGGTTTCTGTGTCTTGCGGGGTGGCAGCATGTCTGAGAAATAGGGATTATTTTTTCATGCAGCGTTCTCCTGGCCCACTTTCGAGACGAAAAAAGATTCAGATCTCATAGAAGAATTAAGATTATGTCATGGCACGATGTTATTTCGCCATAAAGTGGCTATGTCAAACTTTAAGAAGTATATTTTTTTTATATAATTTAAAGACCGGAATGAACAAGGAATGGACACTATATTATGATAGTAGTGTGTTGCTAATATTGGTATTACTTTATACAGTTCCTACATTTAAGTTTTGAACAGAAGTCCAAGTTAAGCAGAATAATCAAGATAATTACAATCAATGTTTATATACACATATATCAATCCTTGTTGTTGTCCCCACAATAAAAAAAAAAAATAATAATAAAAATAAAAATAAACAACTGAATGACTGTTGAATTATTTATTATTAATTATGTCCCGAGTAAACAGATTATCACAATAAATAATTCAACAGTCATTCAGTTGTTTATTTTTATTTTTATTATTATTATTTTTTTTTTATTGTGGGGACAACAACAAGGATTGATATATGTGTATATAAACATTGATTGTAATTATCTTGATTATTCTGCTTAACTTCGACTTCTGTTCAAAACTGAAATGTAGGAATAGTATAAAGTAATACTAATATTAACAACACACTACTATCATTATATAGTGCCCATTCCTTGTTCATTCTGGTCTTTATATTGTAACGGGACTGCCTAGGGGTTAGTCCCATACATAATCCGAGTTCGGAAGGATAAAAGAATAACAAGAATTTCAGTGTTTAAGGAATTAGATTTTATATTCTGTTGAGATAACAATCATGTAAAACAAACGTAAAAGATATGAAATAATTTCACATAAGATTCAAGAATATGATAATTACCATTTTTAGCCCCGGTCCCCGAAATACGTCTAATCGATAATTAATAATAATGTGGACTGCTGCTGATTAAACAAATGCACATATATATAACAATAATAAATCCCGGCCGGGTACTACAGACCCGGGCGCGCCTAACCCGGACGGGTTATAAACAAAGGGAAATAACTCAATACAACAAGTAAAGACAAATAGGGGGAAATATGAATGAAATATGGCACATATAAAATATATACATGCACAATTAAATACACACAAAACCATCACAAAATTATAAAAAATATACTTCTTAAAGTTTGACATAGCCACTTTATAGCGAAATAACATCGTGCCATGACATAATCTTAATTCTTCTAAGAGATCTGAATCTTTTTTCGTCTCGAAAGTGGGTCAGGAGAACGCTGCATGAAAAAATAATCCCTATTTCTCAGACATGCTGCCACCCCGCAAGACACAGAAACCGCCACCCCGAGCGTCGCATCGAGTTTGAAGCCTAAATTGGCTTAATTAGTCAAATATATTGCCTTTTAAAGTAAGATTGAAGTTTATTCCATCGTATTACTTTATTACTGTTTAAGATATAAGGAAAAAACGCTTCTGGGGTCAATTTTGAAACAGAATATCGTGTCAAAAGTCGAAAACGTTAATACCCCGAAAAGTGAGGAGGAGTGTTTGAGAAAACGGAGCACTCTTATAGGCTGCTTTAAACGGTCAGAGGTAGGTTGATATTTGCTCTCTTCCGTACAATACAATTTTCTGATCTAACACGTCTAAACATATGAAAAAAAATTCAGGTTTATTCACCGTGTTGATGTTTTCCTCGCCTCGGTGCCGCCACCCCGAGTCACGCATTGCCGCCACCCCGAATGTACCGTTCTAACCGGTGATATTGTACACACATACTTTCATCAACTCGGAGATATGATACTCCTTCAGAACATCATATACTGATAAATTTAAAGAAGGTCGCATTGTCGGTGAAATGTGACGAGGTGTATCTCTTTTGTGAAAAACAAGAGGCAAAGCTAACAGCTACTGTTTGTTAAGGGTAGTCCTACCAACCCAGATCGCCTCTCAGTGTGAGGGCAAATCGACACCTATAAGGTATCTGGTCTACCTGGTATTTTGTACATAGGTCGCATTAAATCACCCAAATTGTTAACATTTAGAATATGTAAGGTATGCTAAACTCACAAGTACAGTGGTGTTTTTTTCCCCAGTATACATGCATGCATGACAAAATAAAAGCCTGAATTCGGATGGAATTTTTATGTGCTAGTTTCATCCGTTGCATTAATTTTTATATTTGTATATCTATTTAGTCCCACTGTTGCATTAATTTTTATATTTCTAGTTTTATACCTATATTTAGTATACATGTATTGTCAGTATCAAAGTATTTGATCCATGCAGTTAATGGTTTGTAAAGCCTGAAAGCACATGTAAAGCTCCTCCCCCTCCTCCTTAGTGTTTTTGGTGATTTTGTCAGACACAAATGTCTTTAACTACTGTAAAAAATTTACACCAAGCAAAAATTCTTATAAATTTTACTTCCTTAAAATTGTAGGTTTTCGTATAAGCGTGTAAGCGCCGCAGCAGTATCTTTTAACAATTTGTTAAAACAAATTACTAATTTGTTATAACAAGTTGATAATTTGTTATAACGAATTAATAAAAGATACGGCTGCGGTCCTAATACGCTTCCATATTTTCGTCAGTAGCTACATGTATGATTAATTTATTGTTGATTGATTGATTGATTTAGAGTCCATTGGAAGCTGCTATTCTCTCTAACGGTCCTGCTGAAGTTGTCGTTTGCACAGGTAAGGGTGGCTAAGTTTGAAATTCTGATCACGCTCTAAAGAAAAAGAAGGGCTTCAGAGAATACTTATGTTACATTAAAGTTTTAGAATTCAGAGAATTTAAAACTAACTTGTTATAGTTAGTTTTAAATTCTCTGAATTCTAAAACTTTAATGTAACACTTAAATATACATCGATAATTAGCACTACTTGTCTGTAAATCAAAGCCAACTTTTTCAGTATAACAGTTTAGCAAGCTTATGACAAACAATGTCAATTTGAATTTAATGTAGTCAGTAATATGTCGTTGACCTAATTTTTATTTATTTATTTTGTCATTTGTCTTGAAATGCGAGTTTGATTATTAATATACCAGAGCATTGCTATGTCAACAAACATATGTAATTGATTCATGAGTCAGACGAAAATAGAAAAGTTCAAGTCCTGCAACAGCCAGTTTTGAAATAAAATAAGATACAAGTGTATGTATAGTGATTTCACGACTGCATTGTAAAAACAAAACAAAGATCAATAGAAACGATATTTCCAATCGAACATTGCCCTACCCATTCAGTGCAATAGTCCGAGTTTCCTTTGGCACTTCCTCCGCATAGTAGAAGTACGTGATAAACATTGAAGTCTGTTTACTGTCTACAAACATGCTGTGTCAAGAGGCCCCATATTCTTTAACACTCACGCCAGAAACAGATTCGTTTCGACAAATATCTGTAGATATTATGCCTTCTATAATTTTCTCTCTATATGTAGAGTCTTAATTATATATTTTGGCTATTTGAACACTTTTTTTTATTTTGTTTGTTTGTTTACTTACATGTAGTAAGAAAATTAAATAAAATATACGAAAGAAATATACACCAAGGTTCCAGTAAAATAAAGACTTCTTTGATTATACCCTGTATTGTAGTTTTAAATCATTCCATCAAAAACTTTGTAGATGTTTCTCCTCACAAAAAAGAAAATACTATAAATATTAAATAAACCACAGATTTATTCCTAGAGAGCACATTAGGGAATTGATATATCTCATTGTTTTAGCCACAGTTTTTTTTTTTCTTTTTTTTATCATTCGTGATAACAATATATTTAACTTGTATAATTATTTTTTCACACACGGGGAAATATACTTACATATAACTGGTATTTATACGTTTTTCAGCGCTCTTGGACCGATTGGTCATCGTGCACTGCGTCTTGTGGACCTGGGGTTCAGCATCGATATCTACAGTGCTTACCCAAGTAAGTGTAGGGGTTCAACATCGATATCTACATTGCTTACCCAAGTAAGTGTAGGAGTTAAACATCGATATCTACATTGCTTACCCAAGTAAGTATAGGGGTTCAACTTAGATATATACAGTGCTTACCCAAGTAAGCGTAGGAGTTCAACATAGATATCTAAAGTGCTTAACCAAGTAAGTGTAGGGGTTCAACTAGATATCTACAGTGCTTACACAAGTAAGTGTAGGCGTTCAACATATAGATATCTACAGTGCTTACCCAAGTAAGCGGAGGGGTTCAAAAAAATATCTACAGTGCTTACCCAAGTAAGCGCACATGTAGGGGTTCAACATAGATATCTGCAGTGCTTACTCAAGTAAGTGTAGGGATTCAACATAGATCATGCCGGTATATACTCTGCTTACCCATGTACATGTAAGTATAGGGTTCAACATCGATATCTACTGTACTTACCAAAGTGAGTTTAGTGGTCTACAGTACTGACCTAAGTGAGTTTAATGGTTCAACATTGATATAATACCTTACCAAAATAAGTGCACGGTTCAACATTGATATCTTACCCAGGTAAATGTAGAATTCAGCATCAATATATACATGCACAGCAGTGACGGATCCAGGATTGTTGAAAGGGGCGCAACCAGTGGGGGTCGGGTGGGGCCCGGAGGGGGAGCTCCCGAAAGCTCTCGGGTCTTAGGAGTTTTGTGGATTTTTTTTTTTACTTATTCTAGCTATATTCTAGGTTTAATTAATGCAATATCCTACACTCAGAAAAAATCGATCTATTAACACAAAAGGGGGGCCCTGCCCCCTCCCCTCTAAATCCGCCAATACGCAGTGCTTGTCCAAGTAAATATAGGCTTCATCGCCGATATTTACAAATGTTTAGTGCTTTTCAAAGAAGGTGTATTGTTTCAACATCGAACAATATTTAACAGAAATTTTTAAAAAAAATTATAACGTTACATTTACAAACTCTTTCAAATACACTATGTACCATTTGCCCTATAGAGAATATGCATTGTTCTGGTTTTGCAGTGCTATTCAAAATGGTTTAATTTGCTTCACCGATATTTTGATCGTTTATTTTGCTATATCAAGAAATTGTTTGGAACACATCATTCCTTTGCTCTGTGGACCCATAGCAAAGGAAAATCATAGACATGTTTTTGAAGATAGGGGGTGGCACCAGTAAAAGGAAGGAAGATTTTTAATGCAAACTTTTACGATCACAGCAGCTCAAACTGGAAGTTAAACGCAGGACTTACATTGTACGAATGTCATATTCTTTTCTTTTTTTTTAAACTTTTTATAAAGTTCAGCATAAATTTATTAGAAAATACTTAAGGTCAGACGATACGTTCCTCAAATATCTGTTTTGTATACCTTTGTATTGTATGGAAAATATTGAAAATTTAAATTACTTTCTGATATCTAAACTGGTTTCTAATTGTCTTTAAAAAATTGAAACACTAAATAATGTGATATTGGCAAATTAAGTTTTTTCCAAAAGGATTTTATAGGAAACAACATCCTCTGGTATCTTGCACAAATGCCTGGTAAGGTACCTCAATTTTTCGCGAGTAAACATATCAAAGTAGCAATACTTCAATGACAAAATCTTAGAAAAAATTATATATTATTGAGGAACGTATCGTCTGTCCTTAAAAGGAAGTTTTTTTGGACGATTTTTAGTGTCTCTCTGGTATTATATTTTCCTCATACATCTACAGTTACGTAACAATTACAAATTGTCTGTTTTTCTGCATAAGTAATAAGGTTTTCTTATGTGTAAAATTTTAAGCAAATATCCATGTCATATGTTTATCTTTAGCTGACCTATATTTCAAATGAATGAAGCATTCCAGTTGTATATAGCGTATAGATATCGCGCCTTGGGTAAGTTCAAGTAAAGAAAGGCCAAAAATACTAATCAAATGCAAATTGGGCGTTTTATCATTTGTTATTTGATAGAACGAGATTAATTGAAATGCCGCGCGAAGGCCCATTCTTTGGAAAACGACCATCATTCGTCAAGAAGAGCAGTTATCGATCTTATAGTGGGAAACCGAATTATTTTCCATTCATAAAAATTCCAATATATTGTTAGCAAAGTTCAGGACCTCGGGTAAAATTTAATAAGCCAACAAGAAACAAAACATATTGATTTTTGTTTTTAATTTTACCTTGTTAGACCAAAGGTCAGGGAAACTAGAGTGAGGTGAAGCACAAAGCAGGTTGCCTTATGTTTGGGGGCGTTTTGTTATTCAGCGTCTATAATTTTATGCATTTTTAGTGATTGTACGAGTGAAAAATGGAAAGGCCACAATTTCGTTTATAAATTCTTAATTGTTGAAATTCGTTTGTTAATTCTGAAATTTCGATCAAACCATATGAATTCATTATGTGATTTGTTTTTGAGCTTTATTTTCCTACTTCGTATTAAAAGAAATAAATGAAGAAAAGGAAACACTATTTATATTATTACAACAAAGATTGAGTATGCAAAGAAAGTTCACAAGAATTCATTTTTTTTTCGGATTTTTAACATTTATTAACGTCTTTTAAAAAGGCATAATCCATGCAGCGTGAAACTCTTTGGCCATAATTTTGTTTTTTAAAAAAAATCTAACCTTTTCATAATTTATCTGTGACAAGATTACGTCAAAAGAAGCATTAATTGATTAATTGATTTTTTCAGTGCCTTCAATTGTTATGGAAATCAAAAGCAGTATAAAGCTTGTAATGTAAAAGTAAGTACATTCATCTGAAAAAATCAAGAAACTTTTTTTTTTTTGTGATATATATAAGAAATATTAGAATGTAGAAATCAGCAGTGTTTTAAACCAATAATAGAAGGGTTTTTTTTTGCACCCTTGTAAGTTTTCTGATTAAACAAAAAATATAGACCCCTCTCTAGATACAATTTACAATCACCCCCCAGGTGCTAGGACCTGGGGTGTGAAGAAAAAAAATCAAAATTAGCAAAATCTAATAATTTTGGCAGGGGGTGGGGGTCATATTGGCAACTCGTTTGAAGAATGTAAACGTAATAAACAGTATAAAAAATATCATAAAGAAGGGTTGGAGGGGGCAGGGGACTGTTCTCATTTAATCCATTTAAGTCCTAATACTTGAAGTTTGTTCTGCATAACCTTACTAGTATTTCATAGGTGTGTGAAGGGAAGGGACACGATTATAGACAAACTGAATGCAGAAAGCACAACTCCAGAAAATACAGAGGCAGATTCTTCCAGTGGGAAAAACATATAGATCGTAAGTGTACAAATCATATTTGTGTCAAATAACCTTGAAGGTAATTTTATTTATGAATATATGTATGAATATTTTTGGAATAAAATTGTGCGCTTTGCAGAGATTCCAGCACATATACACATGTACCTACACCCTTTAGTGAGGATGCATTTCAGAAAATAAACATTTATATGTGTTTTATTAACTTCATATATTTTTTTATTCAAACTAATCCTGAAAGACAATCAAAAAGTTTATCTTTTTTCGTAACACTATATTGCATCGGGCATGAAGTTCAGGAAATATGAAAATATTTCCCGGGAAAATGAAAATGGAGGGAAAGGATCGCAACAGAGGATAGCGATTTGATTTCTGAATTTACAGCTGTTGGTTTGTGTGCTCGGAGAATTACTGACGTTACACACACAATGAAAGACTTATACACTTCATGTATAATGTACATGTATTCTAGTTAGATAGAGACAGCACTATAAAAGACGAGGATGGGCTATGCCTTTGCATTTCTCTATGGAGAATAACACGACATGATGAATGATTTTCAGAAATTGATAAATGACCAATGACCACGTAGTTATAGTGCTAATAATTTTAAATAACTGATTTGATTATTATGATCAGTGTTTCTTGATAAAGTAACCACTCAGGGTGCAGAAGGAAGGACAACTGTTCTAACCTTCAACTTCTTATTTCATAATTCGCTGAATTTTTTAGATACAGCATAATTATATTTAATGAAGAAGAAAAATATATGTTTAACAAACTTAGATATTTCAAATGATGTATGAAAAGTGTTGAAATACTAGGTTAACTATCTTTTTAAAAAAATTATGAAATAAATAATTATACACAGGGCTTCTGTAGATATTTTATATGAGGGGGGTTACTTCTGATAACTTAATTAGTGCACGTGTCAGCTGAACCAAAAAAAAAATTTTGAAGACCTATTTTTAATTACTGGATCTAAGCTTATTAGGTGATGTACACTCTAGAAGCAAACCCAAGTCAGGCAATCATCATAGTATTCAATATTCATATTTTAATGACGTATGTAGAACAAAAAATCTTACCCATGGATGCAATTGTGCATATAGTAGATGATATGTACATGTATGGAAATATGGACCCATGTTTAAATGATTTATTTAAATGATCATTTAAAATCTTAAATATTTCAAAATTAGTTCTTAAACTAAATGCTATAATTTAGTAATTCTCAAAAACATCAAAAAGTAAGGCATAGTACAGATAACTACATATAGGAGATCTTTACAAAATGAACACCTTGATATATAAATGACCCTTAAATTTGCAAAATTTTCTCCCAAAATTGTTCTGTAGGGAGGCTGATCTTCACTCCACCCCCACCCCAAGAAGACAGCGCAGAGTGAATCTGTTATAATTTCACTACGCAGAAAAATTCACAGTGTTTTTTTTTAAAGAATGTATAATTTGATTGTTATTGAATTTTCCAGCCTCTCGTCAGTGCTCATTGACATGCAGAGCTGTGTACTATGGGTTTTACGCTACGTTTAGTGGACAAGTCAGGGACGGGGTACCTTGTGATGATAAGTCAACAGAAAGAGTGTGCATACAAGGAAGATGCATTGTGAGTACATGTATATCCTTACAGAATGCAATTTTTTCAACAATAAAAAATTTTTCAGAGTGAATGATGACATCTTTTCTGTCGAGTTTTAATCTTACCAGGTTCTCAGTAATTCTTCCAAGAATAACAAAAATTGATACTATAAATATTTTAATATACCTGTAGCATTAAAAAAGATATTTATTTTGAATTCAGAATTTTAGGTATATATTTTTTTCTGAACATGCATAAATATCTACCAAAGAGAAATTACAACATTTTCCTCCTCAGGCAACATGGAATTTAACTATTCAAAATATTGTAAAATATTCAACTCATATGTATGTCATGCAAAAAGAAGTTTAAATATGTAGGGAGGTATCAAAATGGACTGAAATACTACAGTGGCCCATCCTAAATATATATATATTAGCAAATGCACTAGATGCTGATGAATTGTAAAGGGAATTTAAAGGGAAAACTGGGGAGGAGATGGTTGAGTTGTTGTTGTTGTTATTGGTGGTGGAATGGGGGTGGGGAATAAGAAAAATAAATATTTGTGTGTCTACATATAAAGCAAATAACAGTGCAGGACTATTATACATGTTATGTATATGTCCCAGTATATTTCAATTGACTGACACTTCAATAACACCATTTTAATCATAAAAGGCCATTTAGACTTCAAAATTCGGTTTCCAAGGATAAACATGCTTCCTAATCCCATAATGTAAAATGAACTCTCTCTATATACATAAACCTGATTTGACACAGTAGGTAAGAAGTGTATTACTTCATTGTTTACAAACAATTTATAAATGGCAGTGGACTTGTCAATAATGGTGTCTGCATGTCTGGCCATTGACACGGTATATGTAATGGACATTTACCGACCAGTCTGACAAAGCTGATATGACAATTAATGACCTGTAGATTTATTTCTAACTCTGAGAGTTTAGATTGTAGTCCTTTATTTAATGGAGAGTAGAGGCGATAAATGCCAGCTTCAGGTTTCATTTAGAATTTTACATGTTTAGGCCAAGCAAAGATTCTGTGTTTTAACTGTTAGGATCACATGGCCAGCTTCTATAAGTACAACTGTACTGTGAAATGAATACAAAGCTTTACCTTTTACATTTATGTGTAGTAAGGAACTGGTCCATGTTCAAGGAGCATTTGAAAACTTTGGAACATTATTTGATAAAATCATTTAAATGTTGGCCATATATCACAAGAATTGTTTTTTTTTTTTTTTTCTTCAATATCTTTGAAAGGATAAAGAAAATATATATGTGTTTTGACAATCACTTAGTTTTTTAATGCTATAAATGACTGTTAAAAATCATATGGCTCATTAATTTCTAATACATTGTATCCAGTTTGCAGATTATCTTACTTGACGCATACATGACCTGAACTAAGGTCATTTTTTCAAGGTCACCAGGTTTAGAAGTGGTAAGTTTTTTTTTCCAAGCTAGCCGTTGATTTTAATTTTGGTTAATGTACAGGCTTATACTTGACATAAAGGTTAAAGATATGACCGAAGGGAGAATGTTGACCTTGAGTCAAGTTCATTTTTTCAAGGTCACAGGTTTCACATAAGTGTAAAGTTTTGTCCATGCAATGCCACAGTTTTTGGGGAATGTAGAAGTTCATACTTCATGCACTATTTATAACCAGAAAAAGTATATATATATATATATATATATATATATATATATATATATATATATATATATATATATATATATATATATATATATATATATATATATATATATATATATATATATATATATATATATATATAGTCCAAATCATGGTCATTATGTGGAAATATTTGGTTAAGACAAATTAGTAAGAGATTTAATTATTGCATGCATTTTTTACCAGCTCTGATTTTAGGAGGCCATGCCATGAATCATCAAGCTTACTCAGTGTAATTGATGGAAACTATCAAATTGAAAACTTTTCATATATGTGAAAGTTTTGCACTATGAACACTTTTTACAACCAATAAGAGATAAAAGAAAACAGTAGGTTAAAATTGTCAGTTTCCATCTGAAGCTTGATGATTCGTGACATATGGCCTCATAACCAATGTATGCTACTGAAAAGGGGGGGGGGGGGGTATTTGGAAGTTTTAGCTGGCCCAATGGTTTACTTGTTTCTATACACTCTTTGAGGTGGTCACTTTCTCAAATTTATCTAATTTTATTACCGGTACATGGTCTACATTATTATTTCAACTTTTCATCCAGAGATTGCATGAGTGTGCCAACTAAACATTATATGTTTTTCATGTGCAAATTAAAGTTCTGTTTAATTTTAACTTTTTTTTAATATTGTTGATAGTTACATCGTGAAAGGGAAGTGCCTTTTTTTAACAAACTTTTTAGCTCTTCTGAGCCAAAGGCTCAAAGAGCTAATGCTATGGCCATTTGTGCGGTGTGCGGTGTGCGTAAACTTTTTAGAATATGGGCCATAACTCAAGAACCCCTTGGCCAATTATTGTCAAATTTGTCACAGGGTATCCTTGGCCCAAGGGCTCCCTTTTATACTAAAACTGGGGTTGTGACCCTTTAACAAGGGGAGATAATTAGGAAAATAGAAACAAAAGTACTGGTTGCTAAAAAATCTTCTTCTCAAGAACCACTGGGCAGATTATCACCAAACTTACACAAAAGGATGAGGATATGTTGTAGATTAAAATTTGCACGGGGATTTACCCTGGGGCAAAGGGCGTGGTCTCAAGGTCACTTCAAAGTTGACCAAAAATTACATTTTATTAAAATGTTGATATTTTGCTCACTATAAGGACTAGGATCATCAAATCTTGTCAGTTGGTGCATCTAAGGACCTCATATCATGTTGACTCAAAAGTAGGTCACAGTGACCTACTTTTTAAATTTTGCGGCCATTCTTTTTCAAAATGATTTAGAGGCATATTTTGAACAATTTAAGGCCTATGATCATCAAACTTTGTCAGTTGATGCATCTTGGGTCCTCAAAGTACGTCAACTAAAAAGTAGGTCACCTTGACCTACTTTTTGAATTTTATGGCTAATCTTTTTTAAAACAATTAAGGTCATTAATTCGAATACGGGGAGGCTTAGAATCATTAAATCTTGTAAGATGATGCATCTTGGGGCCATAAAACATATTTATTAAAAAGTAGGTCACAGTGACCTACTTTTTGAACTTTGCAGGCATTCGATTTCAAAGCGTTTTAGAGGCATAATTTGGACATTTTAAGTCCTATGATCATAAAACTTTGTAAGTTGATGCATCTTGGGTCCTCAAAAAAGGTCAACTGAAAAGTAGGTCACCGTGACCTACTTTTCAATTTATATGACTATAATTGAATATTTCAGGTACTAATTGGCTTAGAATCATCAAACTTTGTCAGTTGATGCATCTTGGGTCTTCGGAGCAGGTCGACTAAAAAGTAGGTCACAGTGACCTACTTTTGAAAATTTATGGCGATAATTAAATATTTGTCAGTTGATGCATCTTGGGTCTTCAGAGTAGATCGACTAAAAAGTAGGTCACCGTGACCTACTTTTGAAAATTTATGGCTTTAATCAAATATTTCGGGTACTAATTGGCTTAGAATCATCAAACTTTGTCAGTTGATGCATCTTGGGTCTTCAGAGTAGATCGACTAAAAAGTAGGTCACCGTGACCTACTTTTGAAAATTTATGGCTTTAATCAAATATTTCGGGTACTAATTGGCTTAGAATCATCAAACTTTGTCAGTTGATGCGTCTTGGGTCCTCGGAGTACAACAACTGAAAAGTAGGTCACGGTGACCTACTTTTGAAATTTTATGGCTGTATTTAATATTTTCAGGAATTATTTGGCTTAGAATCGTCAAAATTTGTCAGTTGATGCATCTTTGGTCCTCGGAGTAGGTTGACTGAAAAGTAGGTCACTGTGACCTACTTTTGAAAATTTATGGCTGTAATTAAATATTTTGGGTACTTATGGGCTAGAATCATCAAACTTTGTCAGTCGATGTATCTTTGGTCCTCGGAGTACAGCAACTGAAAAGTAGGTCACGGTGACCTACTTTTGAAAATTTATGGCTTTAATTAAATATTTTGGGTACTAATTGGCTTAGAATCATCAAACTTTGTCAGTTGATGCACTTGGGTCCTTGGAGTAAAACAATTGAAAAGTAGGTCACTTTGACCTACTTATAAAATTTTATGATTATAATTTTAAAAAATATTTTAGGTATTAATTGGCTTAGAATCATCAAACTTAGTTGATGGGTCCTCAGAGAATGACAAGTGATAAGTAGGTCACCATGACCAACTCTCAGGTACTAATTGGCTTAGAATCATCTTGGGTTCTCAGAGTGTGAATTGGAATTTCAAGGGTTTATGTAAATATACAGGATACTTCGAGGCTTCAAATAGAAGTGATAGGTTGTACAGTTTATCAGAAGAGCGATTCAAGGCCCATGGGCCTCTTGTTTTTTCTTATGGTTCATCTTCAATAATCACCTTCAAATCTTATTAAGATTATACAGCACTGAAATTGTATAGTTAAATCAAGTATATAATTCTGTCTTTTCTGAACTGACAAATCCATACAAGTGCTTTAAACACATTTATTATACCTAATTGAAAAAAAGATGCTATCTTAGCAAGATAGCTTTGAATAACCAGTGAAGTAGAAAATGTGCTAATCCTTCAACAAAACATATTTTTACAAATTAATTTTGTTGCTTTCTCTTCACATCATAGTGATGTTAGTTAAATTGGACAAAAAGTATGAGAGAGAGCTGTTAGCTTTGGCTATAGAAATGAGAGAGAGAAAGAAGGAGGAGAAAGAGAGGAGAGAGAGCTGTAACTTTGGCTATAGAAATGAGAGAGAGAAAGAAAGAGGAGAAAGAGAGGAGAGAGAGCTGTTAACTTTGGCTATAGAAATGAGAGAGAGAAAGAAAGAGGAGAAAGAGAGGAGAGAGAGCTGTTAGCTTTGGCTATAGAAATGAGAGAGAGAAAGAAAGAGG